GGCAAGTGCACTTCATTTGTTGAATCCAGCCAAAGCCGAAGAGCAAGGTCACCCATTTTTGCAGTCCATTTGGGTCAGATCTTGGTGCACAATGTAGGTAGAAAAGAGTGAAGAGAAGATCTAGAGGGGTAAATGGAAGAAATCCAACATAATATATAATTTAAAATTTGAAAATTCAGAAGATTATGAAGGCAAAGTTAACAATCTTTCTGAATATTTTTGAATAATCAGAGTGAGCATATGTTCTCATTATATAGTATTTTGGAAATTATGCAGAATATGTACTAACCCACTGATATACTCTGGAACTTGCTTTATTGAATTAATCCTGGAAATATTAGTTTACTATCATTTGGCATCTTTTTATAAAAGTAAAGTGGAGGGTAGTAAAAGCTGCTACAGAAACAAACAATATCCCCCTACCCAATCTTTTAGTTATTTACATTCTCTAGGTGTTAGGTGTTTCCTCTAATGAAATAATGCAAAAAAGAAAAACAAAACAAAACACACTAAGAAAACCCCTAAACCCTGCACTATATGCAGTGTATCTTTTATGATAAGCACTCAATAGGAAGACTGGGTCAAAAACAGTTCAATAGCCTCTGATTAAACAAGAGTTGCCAGAACAAGGCATTTATAATTGGCTTCTTTTTTTTGGTATTAAGGATAGCTCTCTGTCAATGTTATATGGTGCACTTATTTTTCCTACTTTCTCATTGTATTCTAATTTTGTTTATTTTTTAATGCATAGGGATTTTAAGTATTTATGGCTTCTATCCCCCCTCTTCCACTGAAATTGCTCTTACTAAAATTACTAACAATCTCTTGATTGTTATATCCAACAGGCGTTTTTCAGCTTTTATCTTATTTGATCTATTCAATTAAGAATAAGGCAACGTGGACCACAGTTTAGATGTAGAGTGTGAATGTGATCCTCATATCATCAATATCTAGTGATTTGAAGCCTCTCTGCCAACTCTAAAGCATAGCTTTGAAAGTCTTTAAAATTATAAACGAAATTAAGTACTACTCAGAAAAATTTGTTTTTGGCAGAATTAAATACGTATGATTAGGTGGAAGCCTTGGGCCCACTCAGAAAATCCATCCTTGTTTTCGGGTTATTGAAAGAAGTCAAATATGGCATAGAAACTAAATGCCAGACCTTAGTTGGAAATAAAGAAACCAGCCTCAGAGATCGAGAAGAGCTGGAAATACAGAATGCCAGGCACGAATCAGAAACACGCACCTCTGAAAGGGTGGGAACCAAGTGAGGGTGACAGCTGGATCATGTGAGTTTTCCTGAACAAAGGGTAAAATGTCAAGCCCTAAGTTGACAAGATAGATCGATTAACGATGAGTGGGTCAGGCAGATCAGCAGGGCAAAAGGGGTATCAGTGGCTCTTAAGAAACAGAATGAGAAACAGCTGCATGAAATCCCTCATAATTCTATTTGGGATCACAAATGAAATTTTAAATTTTAATTAATTTATGCACGCCAATTTTCTTCAATGCACAAGTTAATATTAGTGGCAAAAGAGTTTACTAGGACAGTTTGGTGTGTGATCAAGAAAGAGCAAGTTCTTAATTATATGTTGGAGGGGGAAACAAATATGTACGGACTGGAAATTGAGAAGCTAAAATTCAGTTTATGGATGAAGAAAATCTTATTTGAGAGCAAAATTGATCCAACAAATGCAATGTTATATTAACCCAATTAATGAATGCAATGCTGGTTTTGACGTTTATTTCATGTTATAAATTGACGCAAAATAGATTTTGAAGATTTTACATGAAAAATCACAAACTTAATTACAAAACACATATGCAGTATTTGACAGATACAATTGAGAGTTTCATCAGACCACCAAGAGGTTTATAAACAAGCAGTTTTATAAACTACAGCAGGTCTGATTAAAACCTCTGCCAATTCTTCTGTAAAATGACTATTGCTTTACTTCATTAAATTTTAGAAAGATAGAAAATAGTGGAGCAGAAGAGAAAAATTAAAGCAGAGCAAGTTGAGATGAAGGACAAGTAGCATGGTTTCTAATCACGTTTCCTTTCATTACACTCAAAAAATATTCACTGGTTCAGGCAGTCCCCGGTTTACAAACTAGGCCTGTTCCTGAGTCTGTCTTTAAGTCAGAACTGTAGGTAATTGGGAACAGATGTATATGGTTCTTATTTAGCCTTACTTTACTGCAAGAAAAGGCTCGAAGTCTTTTCAATGATTTAGAAGCTGTACATGCAGCAGGTGAGGGTGAAGAATTTGTTGTGGGTTGGTTCAATTGTTTCAAAGTGAGGGCAAATTTACATAGCGTTAAAGGGCAACGTGAAGTTGTTCTTAAGTTGGATGTTCGTTCCTAACTGGGGGTTGCCTGTACTGCCAAGAGACGGGCTGTTCTAGGAGCTGGGTCAAAGAATATGGAAAGTACTCATTTGTTTGGCTAAGATGGTCAAGATACAATTATGACCAGTGTATGTGAAGCAAGGGGAATTATTCAATGATACTTTTACGTTTTCTAGGGGCAATACAGCATAAAGAAATTTTAAAATATTCCCGAATGAATAAAATCATAATGACTCCTTGTTGTTGTTAGGTGCTGTTGAGTCGATCTTGACTCATGGCAACCCCATGTGACAGAGTAGAACTGCCCCATAGGGTTTCTAGGCTGTCATATTTACAGGAGCAGATTGCCAAGTCTTTCTCCTGCAGAGTGGCCAGGTGAGTTGGAACCACCAACCTTTTTGTTATCAGCCAAGCACTCAAATATTATACCACCAGGGCTCCTAAATAACTGCTTAGCATATTTATATTACCCTGTCTCTTATGACTACATTTTTAGAAGTCTTTTTCTTTCCTCTAACTTTTCTTACCACCACCTGTCTATCATTTTGTCATGCTGTGGTGTTTTATGTGTTGCTATTGTGCTGGAAGTGATGACACTGGTATTTCAAATACCAACAGTGTCATCCATGGAGCAGAGCTTCTAGACTAAGACAGATTAGGAAGAAACGCCTGGTGATCTACTTCTGAAAATTAGCCAGTGAAAACCTTAATGGATCACAATAGTCTGACTCCCTTGCTTTGACCATGTCATCAGGAAGGATCACTTTCTGGAGAAAGGCATGTTTTGTGTAGTAGAGGGCCACTGAGGATGAGGGAAATCTTTGGTGAGATAGATTGACACGATAGCTGCAATGATGGACTGGAACATGCTGGTAATCATGAGGATGACACAGGACTGGGCAATCTTTCGTTCAGTTGTACATAAGGTCGCCTTGATTTGAGCTGACTCGATGGTAGCTATCTACATCAGCTTTTCTTAGGCTAAAGGAAAGTGTTCCTGTGTATCTTTTGACCAATATCCATCCTTCTAGTAAAATTACGTATGAAGTATGAGTTAAAGTTGTCTCTGTATTCCAAGTCTAATATAATATAATGCCACTTATAATTTGCTTAACTGGGGTTTCTCTTTTTCAATACTTTGAAGTTTTATCTTCATTGAGGAATTCATACTCCTGTGGCTATTCAACAGAATATATAGTACCTCCCTTAAAAGATTCATTTATTTTGCTTGGTATATCTTTAGATTCAACATTATTGAGTCTAAATTTTGAGTATAACTATTTTCTGAAATAGTTGAAAATAAAAATATTTTAATTTGTTTGAGAAGGAAAACATGCTACCTATTTTTGTCTATATTTGGAAAATCAGGTGTTGTAATCACTGAAAGCTAAGGACATAGGAAAGAAATTTACATGGAAAACACACTCAGGATCAAGTTTTTCAAACTATATTAACTTCCTTTCAAATCATACAAACATACATTAATAGACATTCACACATATATGTTTTCAGTTGTTTTTCCAACAATTGAAAACAGGCTACAGCATTCTAAGTCCTGCATATAACTATCTTTGATACTGATAATAGAATTCAAAGTTCAAAAGTATCAACTTTAACAATTAGAAAGTGGCATTGCTGGAGTTTACGTGATGTTCCTCTGGTAGACAAATGCTTGTTTCAACATGATTTGTTTCAAAACGTAGATCTCTCACTTCCAGCCTTTGCCTACGAGTGTACACCAAGTGTCATGTATTCAATTGTGTCCCCCAAAAATATCTGTCAACTTGACTAGGCCATGATTCCCAGTATTGTGTGATTGTCCCCCATTTTGTCATCTGAATGATTTTCCAGTGTATTCTAAATCCTATCTCTGTGACATTAATGAGCTAGGATTATCAACAGTTATGTTAATGAGGCAAGACTCAATCTCCAAGATTGGATTGTGTCTTAAGCCCATCTATTTTGAGACATAAAAGGAGAAGCAAACAGAAAGACATGGGGACCTCATACTCCCAAGAAACAAGAGCCAGGAGAATAGCGTATCCTTTGGACTCAGGGTCGCTGCACTGAGAAGCTCCTTGACCAGGGGAAGATTGATGACAAGGACCTTCCTCCAGAGTTGACATAGAGAGAAAGTCTTCCTCTGGAGCTGGAACCCTGAATTCAGACTTCTAGCCTAGACTGTGAGAGAATAAATTTCTCTTTTTTAAAGCCATCCACTTGTGGTATTTCTGTTATAGCAGCACTAGATGACTAAGACACCAAGGTAGTAAGTACTGGGAACACCATAGATGGAACCTTTAGGGAGAAGTGACAGTGATGTCATAGACCCCTGTGGAAAACTTCTAGAAGTGATATTCAGTGATCACAGAGACTAAACAAGAAAGATGCTTATAGAGTAAGGTGGGATCCAACAAGAGTGTAGTACAGAATGCAATAATTTATAAATTTCATTTTGTTCTGTGGGAGCTCAACAGACAACAATTAATGAAGGAAGGTAAAGGCTTAACCACCTGGTACTTTCATAATTCTTGATGATTAATTACTTGAAGATTAACAAAGTTGAAATTCACCATTTTTAGACATGGAAGAAAGTGATGAAGCTGATCAGTCCATCTCAGCAGGGAGGCAAGAAATTCGAAAGAGAAGACGACCCAGCCAACCAATGGTAGACAAATCCCAGCAGACTGAAGTGACAGAGAAAAAGAAACACACGGCCATACCTCAGTCATCTGGCCCCAAAGCTACCCATAGCATTGGTAATATTCCTGGAAGCCATGTCAACTACTCTGCCAAAGAATATGAGTCCCTTCGAGTATCTTCTCAACTTCAGCAAACTTGGACAAAGAGAAAACGTGGACATGAAATGACTGATAAATCTCTTCAGACAGATAGCACCAGAGAAAAGAAAAAAAAAGAAATCAAGTCAGTTGGTAAAACAGTGGTGCCTGAAGTAAAGTCAACTAATGTTGGAGAAACATCCCCTGAATTGCCAGAGAGAGTTCACGAAGTAGAAATTCCACCAAGCAGACACTCAGTTCAACTCAAAATAGACAGATCTCAGCAGACCAGTTGTACTGGAGACTGGACCATGGTAAACATTACTCACGTAGAAATGGTGGACAAGGAACAGCAGACGTACTTCAGTGAATCAGAAATAGTGGTAATTTGCAAGCCTGATAGTTCTCTTACAGAAACAAAGGAAGGTGCCCAGAAACGTAAATCGTTAGGGAAGATTTTTGTCAGTGAACATACTGAATTTCAGCCAGCAACAAGCAGCAAAGAAGAAATGAGGCAGAAAAGTATCAGCAAAGCTTCATTTAGTCAGTCAACTCAAAAAGGTACTGCAGTACTCATTTCAGAAAATGAACCTAGGAGTGAGGCAACTACAACTGTTGTAGGACAGGGTCCTTTTGTTAAAGGGGCATCTGTTGAAATAAATCCTCCCTCAACAGAAAAAGTCCTGGCTGAAGTACAGCCTCTTGCTGCAGAAGAAACCTCTGCTGAAATCCAACTACCACCAACTGAAGAGGCTCATGTTGAAATACAGCCTCTAGCTACTGAAGACATCCCTGTTGAAGTACAGCCTCTACCAGCTGAGGAGGCTCCTGTAAAAGAGGCTTTTGCTGAATTTCAGCCTCCATCAGCTGATGAAGCCGCAGTGGAAGTACAGCATCTACTGGCTGAAGAGGCTACTGCAGAAGAGGCTGCTGCTAAAGTAGAGCTCATCCGTGCTAAAGAGGCCTCTGTTGAACTTCAGCATCCACCAGCTGAAGAGGCCCCAGCTGAACTTCAGTCTCTACCACGTGAGAAAACTCCTGCAGATGAGGCCCCTGCTAAAGTAGAGTCTACCCCAGCTGAAGAGACGCCTGTTGAAGTACAGCTTCCACCTGCTGAAGAGACTCCTGCTAAAGAAGAGACTACACTTGCTGAAGAGGTGCCTATAGAAGTACAGTCTCCACAAGCTGAAGAGGCTTCTGAAGAAGAAGGTGCTGCTGAAGTACAGCCTACCCCTGTTGAAGAGACCCTTGTTGAACTTCAGCCTTCAGTAGGTGAGGAGGCCCGTGATGAAGAACAACTTCCACCAACTGAAGAGGTCACTGTAGAAGAGACATCTGCTGAAGTTCATTCTCCACCAGCTGAAGAGGATTCTTCAGAAGAAACTCCTGCTGAGCTTCAGCCTATAGCACCTGAAGAGGCCCCTGCTGAAGTTCAATCTCCACCAGCTGAGGAGGCCCCTGCAGAAGAGGCCCCTGCTGAAGTTCATTCTCCACCAGCTGAGGAGGCCCCTGCAGAAGAGTCTCCTGCTGAAGTTCAGTCTCCACCAGCTGAAGAGTCTCCTGCTGAAGTTCAATCTCCACCAGTTGAGGAGGCCCCTGCAGAAGAATCTCCTGCTGAAGTTCAGTCTCCACCAGCTGAGGAGGCCCCTGCAGAAGAGTCTCCTGCTGAAGTTCAGTCTCCACCAGCTGAAGAGGCCACTGCTGAAGTTCAATCTCCACCAGTTGAGGAGGCCCCTGCAGAAGAATCACCTGCTGAAGTTCAATCTCCACCAGCAGAGGAGGCCCCTGCAGAAGAGTCTCCTGCTGAAGTTCATTCTCCACCAGCTGAGGAGGCCCCTGCAGAAGAATCTCCTGCTGAAGTTCAATATCCACCAGCTGAGGAGGCCCCTGCGGAAGAGTCTCCTGCTGAAGTTCATTCTCCACCAGCTGAGGAGGCCCCTGCGGAAGAGTCTCCTGCTGAAGTTCAGTCTCCACCAGCTGAGGAGGCCCTTGTAGAAGAGTCCCCCGCTGTAGTTCAGCCTCCATCACCTGAAGAGACTCCTGAAGAAGAGGCCTCTGCAAAAATAGAGCTTACTCCAACTGAAGAAGCCCCAGTTGAAGTACAGTCTTTTCTAGCTGAAGAAGCTCCTGTAGAAGAGGCTCCTGCTGAACATCAGCCTCCAACAGCTGATCAGACCCCTGAAGAAGAGGTTACTGTTGACGTTCAGCCTCCACCAGCTGAGGAGGCTCCTGCAGAAGAGGCCCCTGCAGAAGAGGTTCCTGCTGAACTTCAGTCTCCACCAGCTGAGGAGACCCCTTTAGAAGAAGCCCATGATGAAGTTCAGCCTCTACCAACTGAAGAGGTATTTGCAGAAGAAACCCCTGCTGAATTTCAGCCTCCATCACGTGAGGAAGCCCTTGCTGGATCTCAGCCACTACCAGCTGAAGAGTATTCTGTAGAAGAGGCCTCTGATGAAGTTCAGCCTCCACTAGCTGAGGAGATACTTGCAGAAGATGTCCCTAATGAAGTTCGTTCCTCACTAGTTGAGAAAGCCCCTGAAGAAGAGGCCCTTGTTGACCTTCAACCTCCACCAGCTGAGGAGACCCCTGAAAAAGAGACCCCTGCTAAATTTATGCCTCCATTAGCTGAGGAGGCCCCTGCAGAAGAGACCCCTGTGGAACTTCAACCTCTAGCAGCTGAGGAAACCCCTGAAAAAGAGGCCCCCACTGAAGTTATGCCTCTGTTAGCTGAGGAATCTCCTGCAGAAGAGATGCCTGTGGGACTTCAACTTCCAGCAGCTGAGGAGACCCCTGAAAAAGAGGCCTCTGCTGAAGTTATGCCTCCATTAGCTGAGGAGGCCCCTGCAGAGGAGATCCCTGTGGAACTTCAACCTCTAGCAGCTGAGGAGACCCCTGCAAAAGAGGCCCCTGCCGAAGTTATGCCTCCATTAGCTGAGGAGGCCTCAGAAGAAGAGGCCCCTGATGAAGTTTGGCATACACCAGCTGATGAGGCCCCTGCAGAAGAGGTTCCTTCTGAAGTTCAGTCTCCACTAGCTGAGGAGACATCTGAAAAAGAGGTCCCTGCTGAAGTTCAACCCCTACGAGTGGTAGAGCCCCCTGCAGAAGAAATTCCTGCTGAACTTCAGCCTCTACCAACTGAAGAAGTTACTTCAGGAAAGATTATTGATGACAAACAGCCTCTACTAGCTGAGGACCCTATTGAATTCCTCTTAGAAGGGACCACTGCTGAACTTCATCCTCTACCACCTGTAAAAACCCCTGCCAAAGAGACTTTTGTAGAGAAAGTGCCTACCGAAATATCACTTCCCCAGGCAGCAGATGTTCCAGTGGTAAAGTTAGAGTCACTTGTTCTGGAAGGGATTTCTAAAGAAGAAGAGGCTTCTGCTGTAGACTCTGAATCTTCAAGACTGAACCCTGTTCCTAAAGATATGCCTGATAGGAAACAGAAAAATTCTGCTATTGAAATAGAGGGTATCATCCATATAGAAATAAAATAAGGACCTCCTCTGTAGCCATAGGCAAATCTTAACTAAGCTAGCAACCAGATGCTAGTGGGTTCTGGATACACATACTTTAGGAACGGTAGGCATTGGAAGTAGCTTTGTGAACAGGGAAATGAAAGAAAACACCAAGACTTGGCGTGCAGATTAGAAAATGAATAAAAACTGTAACAGTTCAAAATTTCTTCTGTTATTATCATTAAAATTTATAGTATGTAAAATACCTATATTGAAATGAAATATGTTTATGATTGAAATCATAACTTCAAATATCCTTTCTACATGGAACCCTTCTTGACAGCCATATTTTCTTATTTCTATCATTTCTAAAAGTACATGTAGCTTCTATGGGAAAAGGCTATATATTCTATAGTTCTCTCATTCACTTTCTTGAGTTTTAGTTGCACATCTAAAGTGATGCGGTTTTCTTTCTTCTTATTGTAATTTATTGTATCTTTTATTCTCTTTCCATCGGATTCCTTCTGAGACAAGTATTTATTTCCTGATTTCAGCCCAACTTTTCTTTCCTATTCTGTTGTATATTTTACATTTCAATGGGTGGACAGGGAAATTTATTTCTCTTGTAATGAAATCCAGATGGCCATAATGAACTATTGAAAAAAAAACAGGTAGAAATCCAAAAAAATAGACTTAGATATTTTACTTACATATTCTGGAGGGCACATTTCTATTTAGTTTTAATTCGCCTGAAATGATACTATATGTCCTTTGGGAGTTCGGTTTATGTTTTGTGCACTCTGAACTTGTGACGAAGAAAAACTTAGAATGAAGTTAAAGCACTTTAATATAAGCTCCTGAAGTTGTTAAAGAGTAGTTATGAATATTTAGATCTATCGGTTATTAAAAGTTTCTATGGTTATGAAAGGAGCTGCAACAGTTGAGCACTCAGCTGCTAACCAAAAGCTTGCCAGTTAGAACACACCCAGCAGCTCTGCAGGAGAAAGACCTGGCAATGTGCTTCCATAAAGATTACAGCCTAGAAAACCCGACGGGGCAGTTCTGCTATGTCACATGGGGTTGCTATGAGTCAGAATCAACTCGATGGCACTTAACAACAACATGGCTGTGGAAACTTTTGGGACAATATATTGTCTAGGTACAAATGAGCTGCAATGTGCTGAAATGTTGAGATTATTCTCTTAGAAAAAAAATCTTAATTTAGTCAGCATATTTCTCCGTTACGTAAAATTCTAGTTAAATGATTCTAAACCTTTGTTAAGTTTTAATGCCCTATAATTATATGATTTTTGTCACATTCTTTATTAGCTCTGAGACCAAGAGCAAATATTTTTTAAGTTACTTTTTGAGAGTTTTGTAATAACTTTTTTAAAGCACACTTGTTCAGGTACGTGACAGATTTAAGGCTGAGAAACATTATTCTAGTTTACATAGAATGGAGGTTGCTGTTTTGGAATTCCCAAGTACTTTCCATTTTAGGTTTTCTGAGCCACTTAAAATCCAGCTCAACTTGTTTTTCTAAATTTTAAGGTTTTTTTTCTATTTTAGATTTTCTGTTGTGACTTGCTTTCTTTGTAAAATCAGAAGTTATAGGAGGATTCAGAACTGCATTCACCAAAAGACCGTGTTAAATAACGATGGAATTTATCAACCTGCAACATGAGAGACCTTTCAACACTTAAAAGTTGGATGATAGTTGGCGCTGAGGTGGGGTTTGCGGCCTGCTCTAAGTGTATATAAATAGTAAAAAAGTTTATTTGGGAGATCTTGGGGTCATAATTAAGAAAAGCTGGAAATGTAAATCACAGCAGGAGTGAGTAGCTGTGAAAATTCAGGGTAGGGAACCTTGATCTAAAGAGACAAGTATAAGTAACAAAAATCTTTCGGATAACTAGAAAATAGGGTAATTTGATTTTTAAAATCAGATTTTGGGAAAAATTCAGGGAGAGTAGAAACACATACAGATGGATATATATCAGATGCAAGAATGACACCAGACTGCCAACAATGAAAATTTTTACAAAGTATGAGATATTTTAAAAAGAGCTTTATTGAGGCATAGCCTACATATAATAAATTACATATATTTAAATTGTACAATTTAATAGGTTTTGACATATGTATACACCCATGTGAAACCATCACCATAATCAAGATAATGAACATAGTCATCACTCCCATAATTTCTGTTTGTGACCATTGGATTCCCTCTTTCTCCCCTTACCTTTTAACCTTACCCTGTCTCCAGACAATCAATGATCTCTTTTCTGACACAATAGATTATTTTGCATTTTTCTTGACTTTTATGTAAATGGAATCCTAGTGTGTCCTTTTTTTTTTTTTTTGTTTCTTTGACTCAGCTTAATGATTTGTGATTCATTCAAGCTGTTGTGTGTATCAATCGTTTGTTCCTTTTTTATTGCTGCATTGTGTTCCTTTGTGTGGACTTTGCACAATTTGTTTATCAAATCATTTGTTAATGGGCACTTCGGTTGTTTCTCGTTTTTGGATATTACAAATAAAGCTGCTTTTAACATTCATGTACAAGTCTTTGTGTGGGCATATGCTTTGATTTGTTTTGCAGAAATAACTAAGAATAGAATATCTAGGTTTTATGGTAGATGTATGTTTAAATTTTTAAAACAATGCCAAACTGTTATCCAAATTGATTTGTACCTTTTTATAGCAATGCTTGTACACTGTATGAGCAGTATATAAGAGTTGAAGTTGCTTCACATCCTCCTCAATGCTTGGTATGGCCTGTCTTTTTAATTTTAGCCACTCTAGTAGGAATATATTAATAGCTCCTTGTGATGTTAATGTGTGTTTCCCTAATGCTAACGTTGTTGGACATCTCTTCATGCACTTACTTGCAATCTGCGTATCTTCTTTGGAGGTATCCTTCGAATCTTTGGCCCATTTTTTTTTTTTTTTAATTTGGTTGTTTGTCTTCATATTGTTGAATTGTAAGAGTTCTTTATATGGTCTAGATACAAGTCCTTTGTCAGATGTATGTTTTACAAATATTTTTCCCAAAGGCTTACCTTTTAACTTTCCTAACAGTTTCTTTTCTCTTGCCTGTGTTCATGAGAGATATAAATCTATAGTTTTCTTTCTTGTAATGTCTTTGTTTGATTTTGATATCAGTGTCATGCTGGCCTCATAGAATGCACTGGAAAATGTTTCCCGCTCTTTATTTTTCCAGAAGACTTTGTACAGAATTGATATTTGTTCTTCCTTAAATGCTTTGTGGAATTCACCAGTGAAGCCACTTGGGCCTGAAGTTTTATTTGTGGGAAAGTTTTTAACTAAAAATTCTATTTCTTTAGTAGACATAGTGCTATTCATGTTACTTGTTTCTTCTTGAGTAAGGTTTGGTAGTTTGTGGCTTTCAAGAAATTTGTTCATTTCATCTGAGTTGTAGAATTAATTGACATAAGTAGTTGATAATATTTCTTTGAATCTTTTTATGTCTGTGGATCTATAACAATGTTCTCTCTCTAATTATGATATCGATAACTTGTGTTTTCTCTCTCACCCTGTTTTTATTCCAGATCAGTCTAGCTTGAGGTTTACCAGTTTTATTGATCTGAAAAAACTGGCTTTTGGTTTCACTGATTTCCCTATTTTTGTTATAGTTTATTTTATATTTTATTGATTTCTCTCTTTATTATTTCTTTTCTTCTTCCCACATGTACTTAGCTATTTGCTCTTCTTTTTCTAATTTCGTAAAATGGAAGCTGAAGTCATTGATTTGAGTCTTTATTTCTTTTTTAATATAGACCTATAGACCTTCTGAGCATTTTTTTTTAGCTATGTCCCACAAATTTTAATATGTTGTGTTTTCATTTTCATTCAGTTAAAATGCTTTATAATTTTCTTTTTTCTTTATTTTTTGAATCATGGATTATTTATCAGTGTATTATTTAGTTTCCATATACTTGCGGATTTGCCAGTTTTTTTTTTTTTTGTTATTGATTTCTCATTTGATTTTTTTTTTTCAGGAAATATACCTTGTATGATTTGAACTTTTTAAAATTTGTTGAAACTTGTTTTATGGCCTGGCATATGGTCTATCTTGGTAAATGTTCTGTGCTCTTTGAAAAGAATGTATATTCTGCTCTTTTTGGTTTGAAAGTCGTATAAATGTTAATTCTAGAATCAACATTTGGTTGATAATGTTGTTCAGGTCTTCTATATCATTACTGATTTTATATCTACTTGTTCTGTACATTATTGAGAGAGATAAGTTGAAATCCTGACTATAATTATGGCTTTGTCTCTTTCTCCTTGAAGCTCTGTTAGTTTTTCTTCATATATTTTGAAGCTCTCATAGAAGCTACATAAATGTTTAGCATTATCACGTCCTCTTGATAAAATCATTTTATGTCTGGTGATAGCCTGTCCTCAGTGACATTGTCACTCATCTAGTTTACATCCTTATTATCCTTTGCTTTGCTTACTGTAGCCGTTATCTGCTTTTCCTATTTTAGTTTTTTTCTTCATCTAAATAAACTTTCTTATTATTGCCAGAGTTATTTTTTAAAAGAGATCTCTTACACTCATTTGCCTACAGAATAAAATCCAGATTCTGTAAAATTATAGTCATGGCCCTTTACAGTCTACTCCCATGTATTTTATATTAACCTCATTAAGAATAGGATGGTGAACAAAGTGAAGTTAACAGCATGACTGCTGGTTTGAAAATCCTGACTTCACCACTTAATGAACTGTGTGATTAGTTCAGGTGGATTAACTCCCCTGTTCCTCAGTTTATCTGTCTCAAAAAATGGGTATAAGAAGAAGAGTACCTAGAAGATAGTGTTCTTTGAGTAACAAAAGAGTTAATCCACATTAAGTACTTAGAACAGTACCCTGGTGCTCAGTGAACAACAAATGATGGCTTTAGCTTTTCATGATTTTTGTATTGAAGTTCTTGCCATACCTGATGATGATTGTTATACGTCAATGCCTCTTCTTTGTTCATTGTGTTTTAGTCGTTCGTATCCTGGACATTT